GTTATCGCTTAGAAATCTCTGTGTTATTTTTTATAAATATCAGGTAATATATACGTTTTTTAACAAAAAGTATCGAGAATTAAATTATTTTTCAAATGAGACTAAAATGGTTGTAGTGCGTTCTATGGATTTCGAGATAATCACGGTTTCAAATGTATAACAAGTATTTTTTTTTACTATCGACGGTAAAGCCTTTTTAAACATATTCTTCATGTTTATGTTTATTCTTCATATTTATGAAACAAAGAAGGTAAAAAAAAATAAATTTTTTGGAAAAAATCAGAATTTAAAAGAGTTTTCCCGTCGATAGCAAGAAAAAAAACACTTTTTTTGTACATTTAAAATTAATTATCTCAAAACCTATAGAACTGTAATTATTTTGGTCCCACTTGAAAGATAATTTAATTTTCTACAACTTTTGTTTCAGTACTTTTTGTTAAAAAATACATGCATTCTCTTTATACATTTGTAAAAATATATAAAACAATCGTGATTTTAGATGTTTTTGGGCGATTTTAACTTTTTAAAGAAGCATTTTTCAATTCATGTTTATAGGAAACGTTTTGTTTAGAATTAAATTTTCTATAAAATCTCGAAGCTGGTTAAAACGTTTGGGGTCACTTTGTATATATACACACACATATATGTGTGTGTGTGATTTGATGATTGATAAACACTGTAATGAAGGAAACTTTGTGCACAACGACGATTTAATAGTTTGGACATTTAAATGACTTTGAATTTAAATTTGCAGAACTGGAATTTTGTCGCTTTAATTCTGATTAAAGTAATCATCCTAACTTTGCATCCTAACCAGTTGCACCGAAAATTAACACGTGAATTTTCATTGTTACACGACGAAGCTAAAAATGCACTAACGAAAGTACGAAAGTACACGAGGAGTGCGCGTTACTTTAGATTTCTGCGGTAATATACATTTGCGGGGAAGTGAGATGAACGTTATACAATAACGCTCGTGGCGTTGTAAGATCCCATTAAAGATCGTGACATCTATTTTCTCCATTTATCCATTGTAACGATATCTCGTTCGTTTCATGACGGGCCACGTCCTCATGTCGCCTCTATATCGTGGTTAGCACGGGTAAAACATAATTCGATCTATCGCAACGTCCCAGTTACGGTGCATGTAGCATCCAGCGTCTTGCTTTTCTGCAACAATTTTCCCTTTACGTCTGACTGATGAGTTCACAAGGGGTACAAGATAGAAACGTCAATATCATTTGTCTGTTTCGTTGCAGATTTTTTCACGATGCTGCGGGCATAATTTAAACTCTTAGTCCATTTTTTCGCATCAATAAATATAAATTTTGAAAAGATCCATGTTACCTAACGTTAAATTGTATTAGTAATTTGAATTTTGATTTTTTAAAAATCTTTCAATTGATTTCCCCTTGAAAATTATTTGCGGATCGATTTTAAAACAATTTTTACATTTCTAAGTTTGGATTTCGATCTTAATTAAAAAATATATGCGAAATTGCACAGGTTAATGAAACTCGAATACGCTGCATTAACAAGTAACGTTATAATAAAGCAAAATTTTCATTTATTTTTCATCTTCATATATGATAAAACGGTGCGGTATGTCTGTTATTTGTGCGTAAATTAAAATGCACCAGCGCAACGCGATTACGTTGTGCATTTCATTAAAATTAAAAAACGCAATCTCTTGTTTCTGTCACGTACACCTTTATAAATCTGAATACGATTGAATATAAATCATTATTTCACTGACATGTGACACTATATTGCGCCAAAAAAATGTTATAAATTTTGGCATTAAAAATGCCATAGAATGTAGCGTTGACTACCAGAAAAAAAATTAAACATTGAAATTAAGAACGTGTTTTGAATCTGTGAGAAAAATCACGGAGTGAATTTTCGTATATCTTAAAGAAAGACATTTGTATTATATAGACGAGTACATTTTGATAATGGTATACATCAACGAATAAAAAAGTATGATTATTTTGTCGGCCGATATTCTGATTCGCACAATTTAGATTGGTTCAGCATTTTTATAAGTGCCATAAATGAAAAGTCCATAAATTGCCGACGACCGATCTCGCAGCGATTTTATATAAACGTAATCCGTTCGCCCGTATTTATGAGGCCGCATTTATGCCGCCGCACTTGGTATTTCTGTGGGTTAATTCGGTCATAAATATATGTAGCCGCTTCTACAATGATAATCGGTATCTCTTACGCTTACATATGTGTTTGGTATATGTTGCATATGTGCCGAGCGCATGTGCGCGGGATATTCCAGTGCCAATGAATGTGAATGGCAAACTGAAATTGTGCTCTACGAAACGGATATAAAATGTACAGAATAAACGTAAAAATTTTTATTTCCTCGGAGAGTGAGGCTCTGCATTTTTCTGTTTCTATAATTACGTTGTTATAGCGAATTTTTCCAGAAAAATAAAATGGCAAATGAATTTTTAGCTTAAATAATAAACAGAATAAAAAAATTATTTTGATAAATTTAAATTGAGTATTATAGACATTCTAAAAATAATATTCTTTAAAAAAATGAATCAGAAGAAGAAAAAAAAATATAATTAAAGACACTGAGCCAACATAAAGATAATAAAAATACTGATATTTCTAAAATCTCATCTAAAATTACTTATATAATCAGAATAAACGATAGATATATTAAATATAACTATAAGAATCACTGGATCGTCAAAGCTACGCATGTAATGCTCGTAATGATGCGTTACCGAGCTTACACGGCAAACATAAATGGTAAGCATGGGATTACGATATGTAGGTCTGTATTTACGCTGATATTAACACTATAGCGCTCATTCATCCCAATAAGCGCCGTTAATGCACTTTGAGACTTGTGAAAATCTGTGCTACATAATGGATGGATACGTCGACTCGCACATTATAACGTTTGTACGTCAAATAACCCGATGATTTAATCGTAAATTTACATTCGCGTGCTTAATAGACGTTTTGCAATTGTTGATTTAGGATAACAACAACGGATGCCAGTAACATAATTTAGCATAAGTAATCTAAATCTGAAACAAGTGTCGAATTTATTACTGTTAAGAAACTCAGATTTCATGAAATCTAAGTAAATGGACGTAATCTAGTAATTGAACGTGTCAAAATATTGCTTTATTATATAAATAAAATTCTGATTATCTTTCTTTTTTATTCAAATAATATAAAATATTAAACCAAGAATTTCTTAGAACGTAAATAATATAGAAATTGCATATTTTTATATACTATTGTAAATCATTTTATTTACATTATCATTTTGCGAATATTTTAGCCACTTTTTTCTCTCTCTCTCTCTCCAAAAAACTTTTGATTATTATATTGAAGCAAAATAGGATCAATAATTGCATAGTTCTCTAATCCGGCATTAATTTCAAGAACGATCATCTTTGTGAGGAATCTCACGGTATTGGCGAGAGGATTTTCGTTTCGTGGTAGAGTAAGATCGCGGAAATTAAGTCGCTCAGAAAATTATGCAAATTGCGGATCAACGGAAAGGTATGCGATATGATATTATCATTTCACGTTCGAACAAGCTAGCTACCGTTGGTCGATCCGCGATATTTGAAATTGAAATAGAACGATCCGCCTTTAATCGATGCGTTCGGAACGGTCCAACCCTTCTTGCTAGCGCTCGTTTATTAATGTTGGATGATCGAAAACGAATCAATCAGCATTTGGGGATTTATTGGCGTCTTTAAAATCTTTCCCTGTGTCATTCATCGTCACGAACAATCGACAATCTGACAATAAATGTATTTAAAAAATGAGGCAAACTTGTTTAAAAAATATATAAAAGTCTTCTTTTTCATTATTATCACAATTAACTTGATTAGTCTTTATTTTCATTCTTGTTTATATTATTTCTTCCTTGTGGGAAGTTATTTAAAAGACACGTACCCATTTCTCTTGAAATACTTTTCTTGAGACATAAACTACACAAAGGTTTAATGTGCTGCTTTTCTTTTGGAGTCTGTATTATGTTGCAAACTGGTGAAATCAAGCTAAACTTTATTTATATTTACTTTTAACTGTTGCGAACAGTCGATGGTTAGTGAGAAGCCAGTGGAAGTGTGTTCCTTGTAGAGGAACTCCTAAGTAATTACTAAAACATTATATGCCAACCACGGTTGTTATATGTTGGCTTTGTTCTGTACAAACGAACGCAATTGTGGTCTTGCGCTTCCGGATATTTTTGTAAAGTTTAAACTATTTACACGGTTTTTAAAATAATTTTCGTGCGAGAGATATTTATAATAATTGTGTAATTATTTGTACATCAATTAAAAAAATATGAAAGCATATGAAAAAATATTTGTTAGGATTGGCATGTTAGATACATTAAAGTATATTCTGCTATATTTTTGTAATACAATATTTAAATTATTCACATGATATTGTAATATTTTTCGTAGGCGAAATATTTTTTATTTATAAACTATTATATAATTATTAAAAAGTACGGAAAAGAGAGAGTTCGTTGAAGAATTGTGAATAAATATTACATTTTGCTATCTCATGTTATAACGGAAACGTTTCAGTGGTCTTTGCATTTTAGAATAAAATAAAGATTTTTCATTTCGTAGATACAAAAGAGACGTTAAAAACTTTTCATTATAATAGACAATACATAAATTATTTAATAATCATTTATTTTCCACTCTAGATATCTGGAAAAATGAAATCCTCCTGTTCTTCTATCTACGGCGTCAATCTACGACATTCTTGCTGCGTCAAGGATGACTTTTGAATGCTTCGTATTCGATCAACAGTGGAATAATAATATCGATTTTACTCGCGTTTCGCGATATGTACTGTTTTGCGAAATTTCACGACCGAGACATGTTTTATTACTCGATAACCGACTTCGAGTTCGAGACGTGTGTAAACGTTGACAGTAGTGTACGTGCAGTGTACGTGCGGTCGCTGTTGATATGTTCCATAAATCAAGACGAATCTTGACTTGCTGCAAGTATTCCATAAATCAAAAGAATCTTGGCTTAGTCAAGTAACAGCAAGCGCAGTGGCGGTACGTATTATTCTTGTTACGTATCAGTGCTCGCGCTCTATTTTGTTTAGCGACTGTCTTGTGCCAGTAAAACTCAATGGAAAATCGATAATCCGAAATTTCTTTGACGCTGAAGTAGCGTTAGACATCTTCCGAACGAATACTCGACGATGCTTATAATTATTGAGATAGATGGAGGGGCTATGAAAGATTAAGGTAAAATTAGTACGTTAAGAATAACTGATCAATAAATAATCGTTAATATATATTTTTTAATGAATTAATTACGATGTATCCGTAAAATATATTATTTTTTATATTTGAGTTTATTGACATGTAGAAGTTGTAAATATCTTCAAGCGTTACTCTTTTGCATTCCCTTACAAGGTATTTAATTCTGGAAAGAAATGAAGAAACAGAGCTAAACGCAGATCTATAATTGTATTAAAAATGTTTACAAAGGAGAAAAAAGGGAATAATATAAATATTGATTATTTTTCTTAATTAAATATGTTATATGATATATAATTGTACGTGATTTTATAGATAACTAATTTTTTATTTAATACATATATTGTATTTTATTCCAATCTTCATTCTCCATGAGATAAGAAGATCATAAAGAAAAAGGCCCTATACTAATTATGTAACAAATTGGGCTTCATAATCAGTAAAATTAATTAGTTTTCGCATAACGTACTTTGTAATGTGATGAAAACAAAAGATGTCATAGACACAAGGCTCAATAATGGATAGTTTTTAAATTATATATTAAAGATGTATTAAAAGTGTAAAACTTAAGAGAACTTTTGATATACTATAGCTTAAAAATCCATTATTATGTCTTGTGTCAGTTGTGACATCTTTTCACCATTATATAAGCTACATTATATATATAAAGACCAACTTCTTTCACCGGGATTTAATATAAATATAATTAGTGCGAGATTCTTTAAATAAAAGATAAATATTTTCTAATATTTATCTAAACAATAGATTTGAAAGTTTAATCAACTGTTATGTACTTAATAAATTACTAAAATTATCCATATATTAGGTGTTGGAATTAATTCGTAGCGTTTTTAAAGTGCTATTAATATATTATATCCTCATGGTATTCCAAATTTCTTAAAAATTTTATCTGTATATAGAAGATCATGCTTGGCAAAAAATATAAAAGATGATAATATCTTTACCAGATTTGGAGATGTAATATTTCTTTCGCGAAAATCACTCTATCATCGTTTATCACTTTTTATCAAGCTCATGCGAAAATAAGTAATCGCTCTGGATGTGATATATTTTCTATCATTTTTATTATTCATACTTACAAGATTGTTCTATAAATTTCAAGCAAGTGATATATCTTGCAATTAGTAAATTTGTTCTATCGTATAATAAGATTTCAAAATATGCCAATAAACAATGTGTCAATATAATGAGTATTATTTTATAACACTCTGTGATCCAATTTTTTATTATCTGGTTAACTTGTAATTAACTTGATGTTTCACCAAGCTTTATCCGTGACATTATCACAAATGAAATCCATTGGATAAAACATCAGGTTAAGCCTAATCATAAGTTAACCAGGTAATGAAAAATCAGATTTATGTGTACTTTTTCGTACGCGTAATAGACAATTATGAGCAAAATTAAATAACACTAGCCTCTCTTAGCCCATCCATTTTAAATAATAGATTTAAAATGGATCTGAAATAGATCTGTTATCTTTTAAATCAAAATAACAATTTAATTCACTGTGTCAGTATGAAACGCAGCACGATAAAATTCAAATACAAACTATATACGTAGATCTATAGCATATAAACATATTTAAATTGTAATATGCAAATTATAATACGTGCAAAATTAAACATAATTAATATTTCGATAAATAATATTGGACGTATAAAATAATCGGCAATGCGATTATTTAATTCTTATACCATGAATAAAATAATAGACAATAAATTACTTATTTTGGTTAATGTGTTGATGTTTCCCTTCTTTCTTTTTTGTAGCAAACAATATTTACTTGTGGAAAATTTTTTTTAAAATTTATTGTTCGTATATTAATCACCAGAAGATGACAATCGCGCGACACTTAAACAACACTTTCAATGTTAACACAGCACGCGATTATTTATCATTAATGAACGATTAATATATCATACCGCTTTTCATTTAAATTTTAATAAATTGATAATTCGAACATATTATTTATTTATTTTATATATTTTTAACGTAAAAATGGCAGATAGATAAATAAATCGCGTAAAATATCTACTTTAAGATAAAACACTAAAGTCGCCTCGACATGCTTACGAGTCATTAATCGTGGAAGTTAACTAATTGCGTGTGTTAATAATAGCATTTGAAATCTTACAGTACTTGTCGTGCATCGCGTTTCGAGAGATAATGCAATGTCACAGCGTGCAAGTGATAGCTCGGTGACCTAGTGCGCGTGACAATAGTACATTGAAGAAACACAAATACCAACAATCACGTAACGTAGTACTGATTTGTTGTTACTAGAAAACACATTTAGTACACAGTAATATAAATGGAATATTCTGTTCTTTGCGTATCAAATTGATTGTAGTAATTTAGCTATCTGTGGAAATCGAACGTTTATTTGAATAGATAAAATTTACTTTGAACGAGAGAGAGAGAGAGAAAGAGAGAGAGAGAGAGAGCGAGAGAGAGAGAGAGAGAGAGAGAGAGAATGTATCCATGTAAATTAATTTATTATCATTACTTTCTGCGAAAATTTTACATTTTGAGAGAAATGAAATTATACGATTTTAATAAATCAAGAATTTTCTCCTTGTGATTTTAATAAATCAAGAAAATGGGATTAAACCGCCGCGAAAAATGAGGGGACTCATTCAGCTCCCTTGATCTATTAAAATCACAATTTCATTCCTCTCGAGATGTAAAAATTTGAAAGAGAAAAATGATAATAACGAATATTATATAATTTTCATTTTCCAATTACAAGATAAATCTAAAAAACTTAAATTTAGCATTAATTTAGCGTAATTTAATAATCTCTTTTCACTAAAGTATTAGTAATTATTCTAATTTTTATACACGTAGAAATTAAATAAATTTCAAAATGTAATATATATTATAGTTAAAACGGCTAAAATAGTTTTGCAATTAACTTGTTAATATCAACTCACTGTTATAACGTTTGACATTCGCTAAAAGACAAAATCAGCTGTGAAATTAAATTTCACTTCAAATGTGAAAATTATTAAGAGATGACAGATTAATATGCATGAAATTAAACACGTTGAACAATTTTGTGTACAACGAGAGATACATTTTCGACACAGATTAAACTTTTCAGAATAAGTATCTTATTAAAGTATTGTGTATATATTTTTTTAGTAACGACAGAGTCACTCAGTAATCAGCTTAACTAGGAGTTTTCAACGCCGTCTGCATAAGAGCGGATCTGCGCTTCGTTGGAAAGGTTCGATCTGTTCTTTTCACGCACGATGATCTTTCGAGAGCGATCGCACGAGTGAGCGTACGGAAGTGCCAACAACGGATGCTCTTGGGAAATCGGCAGGATATCGAAGCAAGATCGAGTAAACAAGCTACTACTGAACGACAGCCGAGAGAAATTAGCGAAGTTGCACGAAGATTTAAATAAAGCATCTGCAAAGAAAATGAAAGGACACGAACTTTCTTCCCCACTATCCCCGTTGATTTCTTTGCACCGGAAAGATCCTTCTTTTTTTTTTTTTTAGGAAAACGAAGAAATAAATCTTGGAACTTTCTTAATGGAAAAGTGAAAAAAAAAATTAGAAGGGTCGTGATAATGTTAAAGAGATCCAAAAAGTATGTACATCCAAGTGCGGTCTAAGAAGCTTATTCTCTGCGTTTATAAAACTTTTTTTAAACTTTGGGAGGTGCGAAATGGCTGTTTGTTTCTATTTTTTTTCTCGGTAGAAAAATGCATAATAACAGTAGAATATAAATAACTTTCATATTTTTTCCATGTTACTCTGAATAATTAACTAACGCTCTGTTTTTTTTTTTAATAAAAGATACAAATAAAGGATGTAGAAAAAGAGATCTCTTCATCCAGCTTTTTAAACTAATATTAAGAATAGGTATTCCAAAAACTACAGCATAGCGATTTAATTAATCAAAGCAAAGGAAGACAGATAAGTGATATTTATGGTAATCATAAATATCACGTTTTTTTTTGCGTCTTTCTTCATTTCTTTTTTAATATTTTATGAGATAAAAGCCAAGTGAGATAATAATTATTTTAAAAACAATCAATAAAAAATAGATAAAAAAAGCTCAATTGTGTCGAATCGTTAACAGCCTAATGCACTTTAACGAGAGGTGTTACGAACTTTTACAAAATAAAGATATTAAATTGTACATAGAGTTGACGTAATTTCGTTTCTAATCTACGGAACGGGACACAAAGGGTGGCAACGATTTCGTCGTCGTTTCTTTCTTTTTCGCAGGAAACGAACACTTGGAAATGACTACGCGCGAGTGAATCCCCGTGGGGACGAACAGCGGGATATCGAAATCAAATCAGCGCCAAGTGGACAAGACACGAATCGAGGCGAGCACGTAGAGAGCGATGCATTGAGAAGAGAGCACGGAGAAGATTCACACACGATGTGGTCCTGCGAGTCGCACACATCCGCGGGGGTAATTTCGTGACGAGGAGGACTCACGCCGTTTCGAATCTCGAATCATATTATGAGAACCCGCTTGTTCCCATCCTCCATTGCTCGCTCACCCTTCTAATGGCAGCTGCCCCGCGTGGAATTTCGCCCTTTACTTCCTTCCCTTCGTTCCTCCACCTCGTCCCGTCTGTTCCGCATCTGGACCAATTATGCGGATGGCGGTGTACGTGGGGATTTCGATTCACCACGATGGCTCGCACGCCCCGATATGAGCGATTTTACCTGGGGAATCCCAGGGGAATTGGAGAAATTAACGCGACCCGATCTTATTGAATGCCAGCCCTTCAGGCGGGAACTTCGGCTGAACTCGTAATTGAAATTTCCGATAGCTCGCAATTTTTTCCGTGTTTATAATCTCATATATTTAAATGAATGCTTATATGATTACAAATTTTTCGAGGGGCTTTTATCCCTATTCATAATTCCTATTTCTTCATCCCTTAAAATTGCTTCGTGCGTTATAATGTAATGTGCTTCCTGATTTCAATAATGCCCGTTTCCCGGGTCAAAAAATGTCGCATTTCTTTCGATTCGATAATGGAAGCCACAAAATTGCCTTTTTGCTGGAAAAAGTTTCCGCATCGAGTTCGACTTCAGCGGGATCATCGATGAAATTAGCGTCGAAGCGAATCTTCTCTGTCGTACCATAACCGCCGTTCGCAATTTTTCGCTAAATTTGTCTCGACTATTCCGGCGAGACATCAAATCCTTTCTCTCTAGCCACCGTAATTTCTAAGACAAATCTCGAAATTACCTTCCTGGCACGAATCAACGCCTTTTGTTAAGCGAACGATCTTTCCACTCGACTAAACGAGGGTATTCACAAATGTGACAATAAAATTAGAATCCTCTGAGATGTCATTTGAGACTTCAGCTTATATATACAGTTCACGTAACTTTCGTATTGTTTATACACAAAGAATGATTTGCTGATATATCTAATAGTTTAGCTAAATACAGAAAATACTGAAAATAATTTTGTTAGACCATCAAAATAATTGCGTTGGATGTTCAAACATGATGAGAACAATGCTGCAAAAAGTTTTAACATTCTACATTGAGAAATATTTGGTATATTTGGTATATTTGGTATATTTATTTAGAGGGGATTATTAAAACTTTATTTTGTAATTATTTCATAATGATTGTGTTGAAAGTCCGACAATTATCGGCGCGTAATCATATAACAAAAAAATTGATTGAATATATAACATCTAACTTTGACCGTTCGGTGTTCTTTACTTTATTCGATTTGATATATTTATTTCGTTGATATGTGACTAACTACATGTATTCTTTACTACTCTTTTATCTAAAAATTATTTAACTTTCAGTTAAAATTTGGCTAAAATAACCAAAATTATATCGTTCAAAATTTGATTAGAACAACAAATTTGGATACAATAATTAATATCAAATTTTGATAGAACAACATGATTTTTAAATAAGAAAGTACTAAATTTAGTCACATATCAACAAAATAAATGGTTATATTTCTTTCTAGCGATCAGTTTGAGCGTCCTACATAATTTAATAGTCCAACAGAATTATTTTCAGATATCTAGTAAAATTTTTAGATACTTCGGCAAAATCATTTTTTCGTATGGAACAAATTTTATACCATGCATCAAATTATTACATACACAAATAGCAGAGAGATTTATTCAATATTCTAAATTATCGTGTATGACTTAAAGAACTTTAAAAGAGGCTTTTTTATATCTATCAAATTATTGTGCACACAAATAGCAGAGAGAGAGAGAGAGAGAGAAAGAGAGAAAAAGAGAGAGTTATTTTTATCCTAAATTATCATATATAAATTTAGATAAAAGAAGGCTTTTGACTTGATTCCCAAATAAAGCAAAAAATACCGTCACTGAAGCGAGACTTCTCAATATCGAGAAAAATTAATCTCACAACGAGAGCGTTGAATTTTTGGAGCGATCCACTATCCGTTGCAAAGGGACCACCAGTTTCGATCGGTAACTTTGTAAAGGTAATCTACCAGGTTTTAGTGCCATGTAATAAAATCGTCGCGGACCGTTCCGTTTCGTGCGCGGCGGGGCAATTTCGCGCGTCGAATGAATCCCTCGGAGGAAAGAGATGCTGCGACAAGCTCCCCGTTCGGTAGTACAGCTCGCGTTGCATCGCAACCCGTAAAGCCCGTCCGGAATACTATCGTCTGTCCACGGCGATTGCGAAACCATCGAGCGTCAAATGTGTATGTTTGCAAGCGATTACGCGCGAGCTATTTTTTTCCTTTTTTTTTCCCCTGGATTCACGTTCGGACGCAGCAATATGGCACGCGTAAACGATACAGACTGACGGAGTTAAAAAAAATCTGTTAGATTGTCTTCGACCTGGACATTTATAGGTTTTATTCAACTGACGTTTCAAATACGTATTTTGCGGCTAAATGATGTACACTGTATATTCTTCGTCGTATTGCGAATCTGACGTAATTCAATTTGATCTGATCCATAGTAATATTCTGTAATATTCTGAAACGCGATATTTGTCAATATTTTATAACGATGAAAAATATCTTCTGTGATATTTCTATGATGTAATATTGTGTTTGCAATGATCAAAAATTCAGTAACAAGTCGTTTATTAGAAATCGTTATTATTTTATGTGATGTGTGTGTTTTTAAAAATATTTTTTAAATTCCAGCTTCTGATTTAACGCGCGCGCGGATAAAAGTATATATGTATATTCACTTAACATGTATTCGTTATTTTATTCTGTTATTTGTGATAAATTATTTTGTAACAATTGTACTTGCTTTATATTATTTACATAATAAAATATGTAATTAAAATACTATATATTATACAATAACATATATATATTTTTAAATTGTTTAATTTCATTGTTTTATTTAAATTAACGACATGAAGTAAAAGCAGTAGTAGACCTACAGAAATAATTAAAAGTAACTCAAATTGATTATAATTTGACGTTACAAATTTAATAGTATAATCTCAAATCTCAATTATAATGTATTACTAATTACTGTAATTACTTTAAATAAATAATGATGTTTTACTTTAATATGCTCAAAAATAAGTGTACTAATTAAAGATCAATTTGAAGTAATGTGTGCTTGAGATAACGTGCTGATTATTCATCTCAACGCAATGTAAAGTTAACGCCGTACAAAGGATTAAATAGCGTCATTCAATCCAGATTAAATTTTTTTCTCATGAAGGAAGGAAGCTAAACTGATGGGAGCGAAGTAGATACCAAAGAATTTCGTGCTGCAATCTAGTTGCATTATACGTTAGAAGCATAGTTAATTTCACGTGAGAATTATTTTACGAGATCTCTGAAAAATGTTATTATGCCGGCCTGACCGTGGTAGCTTCTTGACTTTCGTACGAAAACATCTCGTTTCTAGCGGAATATGTAGAGCATGGTGTACCCGAGGGCGACGTTATACTTTAGCCGTGGATAAGACTTTAATTAAACGAAAGGTAATTTGCTTAAGTGAGTGCTGCGCTTTTCAAGGCGCGCATACATCTCGGGACAAATACTGTCGCGCGGTTTCTTTACAGTCTGCGATGGCGCGTGCAAAACTCGACGCCCGGTAATAAAATGAAAATTTTATTCCATTTACACGTTCTTTCTCACTCCGCTGCTTTTTGCCCATTGTTCCATTTCTGCGTAAGAATATTCATGAAAGTCTTCACTTCGCGGCTTCACATTTCTGCGATTAAGGGATAATGTTTTACGGAATGCTTATCTAATTCGATCTAGTAAAGCTAATTATTTAAATTACTTGTATATTTTCTCTACAGTGAATGAAACACTTCTAATTTTTCAATATTGTTGATTTTACTATGTTTATACAATATATACATCTTAAGGGGATCTTAAAGACAATTAATCATAGTGTAAGTAGAAGTCACAGATGATTTACGTGTCACTGATTTACTACATCAATATCTCATATAGACAGCAAAAATACATAATAAATTTTCGTATAACAATAATGTTTTAATTGGTGTCTAAATCCAATTCTAAGAA